AATTGTGTTTTAAGGAACGTGTCTGTCTTTGCTCTGGAAACATTGCTCTAGAGCTTCTTTTGTGGTGCTTTACAGTGACAACAGTGAAAGCTTTAGGAATGAGGATGGAAAGTAGGAAGTAACAGGCCGTCTCCATTTCAGGTAGAAAAACTGAAACAGGAAGTGGGCAAAAGAAACAGCTGGCAGAGAAAGGCGAGAGACAAATTTGTGGACTTGAAGAGGATGAAGGACTTGGAGCGACAGGTTTGGCACACGGACATACACTAACAGTTCATTTCTCCTTCTTCTACAACTTCATATCACTTGTTTTCACCAGGTGAAGGAGCTGGAACAAATACTCAGGAGCAGAAACCCAAACTCGCTGCCTGCTTTGATTTATGCTGCAGCCACATCTGCCAGCCACGAGGACGCTGGCGAAACGTCCTCTTCCAGCCGGATCACTGCTCTGCTGGAGCGAAGGATCCAACGTCTGGAGGCCGAGCTGGAGAATCACGACGAGGAAGCCAAACGCAGCCTCCAGGTTATGGAGCAGCAGTTTCACCGAGTCAAGGTACAATTAACACCAGTCCACAGGCTCGTCGATGTAACGACCTGCCAGCACTTCCCACTCACACCACCAACCTGTTCACCACCTCCCAGCTTGGGTTCAGAGGTCAAACACTCAGCTTTATAAGATTGGGCTTCAAACTTTGTCATTTAAGTTATACACACCTTTCAGAGCTGTCTGCTAGGGTGGGGTTGGTTTTTGTCCTTTGTAAAAATATCTTACTCACATCTTAATACCAAAGAATTAGGGCAGCCACCATCTCTTGCTGGTCATCAGGAGAAGTCACTGAATCCACACTTTGCGATCACCACGTCTCTTCCTGTGTGCGTCCTCCTGCTTGGTGTGCTAGAAAAGCAGAGCGACAAACAGACAAAAGCTTCATAGAGAGCTGTGAAGCCCAAAGAAGAAGCCGTGTGACATAATAAGTTCAGTTTCAGTCAGTAAATGAGCTTCTTAACAGCACAGCTGTGAGACTAAAACGTAAAACCTTTATTTTTCTCCTTTACATGTCTGATTTACAGCAGATCAGCGAGGAAACGTGTATCTGTGCTCATTTGGCTGAACCAACACTTTGAAATGTTCTTGCTGTGGAAGTTTGATTCATCACAGTGAAGAATCACGTTTCAGACGTCTGGTTATAGTAGAGACTCCGTGTGTTTTATAGAAGTCTGTCAGAACCATTATTTTCTGTGGTTTGTATCATTTAATGCTGAAATGATCATTAAAAACATCAGATGAACACATGAACTAGTTCCTCTTGTAGCCTCGTAGCACTTAAAGCTCTTTAAGTCACCTGACCACAAGCTCGAACATCCACACACAGTCCTGTGGAGCAGCCAGGGACTGAAGCACCATCAGCAGATCAAGAGATGAGGCAAAGTGAGTGCATCATAATATTTTTCTGATTGAACTCCACAGTTTCACTGTAGTAAAATACCCCTCAGCAGCTGTGTGACAGCACTATGAGTCGCTTTACAGCACTATGAGTCGCTTTACAGCACTATAAGTCGCTTTACAGCACTATGAGTTGCTTTACAGCACTATAAGTCGCTTTACAGCACTATGAGTTGCTTTACAGCACTATGAGTCGCTTTACAGCACTATGAGTCGCTTTACAGCACTATGAGTCGCTTTACAGCACTATGAGTCGCTTTACAGCACTATGAGTTGCTTTACAGCACTATAAGTCGCTTTACAGCACCATGAGTTGCTTTACAGCACTGGCCGTTTTGATTTCTGTAGAAAAACTGAAGGACAGAAAGGTTTTATTTCAGTTTGGACTCTTGTCATGGACACATTCATTAGTGTTTTCAGAGCATTGTTTCATAATGACTGCAGCCACTCTGCTGTGGAGGATCTGAGTCTGTAGGCGTCCGCCTGCTTAGCTACACCCACGAGCCTGTCAGCTGCTGACCGGCTCAGTGTCCAGCTGTACCTGTTAACTGGTTTGTGTATCACTCACTGTTTATACATAAAGGAGAAAGTGTGAAGCACATGTGGTTTGTTTCACACAGGGATCAGTAACAGTGTTCTTTGGTCGGTAGCTGCTTTTGATTTGTTGTTTCTTTGCTTGCAGTCAATGATACTGCGCTTGGTCCTGTATTATTAATTCCTCTTCATTAAGGACAGTTTTATATATAACGTGTCACAGTTATTTAATTAAATTAGACACAAATCAGATACATATTAATCATGCTCACAAACTGAGTCTTAAAAACGAACGACCTGCAACATTGTAGCAGATTTTTGTTGAATGCCACTGTGTGTCTGCTCTGCAGCTTCGCTACGAGCAGCAGGTCTGTGAGCTGGAGCAGCAGCTGCAGCGGCAGCAGCAGGTTGGAGCAGCAGCTGGGTCCCAGTCATCAGTAGTCCAGGCTCTGGAGGAAGAGCTGTACCGTGTGAAGCAGAGCCACACACAGACAGAGAAATCTCTGCAGGAGCAGATCGAGTCTCTCCAGCAGCAGCTTAAACACAAGGTCAGTACAAGTCTCACTAAAAGCAATGAGCTTTTGTCTTAGCTGCCTCCAGATGCGAGAGCAGGCAGCCTTTGCTCTGCAACGTTGGACTAATGGATGAAGTAGGATAATGGAGGAGTTGATAACACAAAATAAACTCGATTATACAATACTGAGGAGAGCCCTTCGTTCTGCAGGCCCTGCTGAGTCCCGGCCGGCACCAGCGCCAAGCCGAGGCAGCATTTGGCGTGCGGCTTGAGCGGCTGAATCAAGAGCTCGCTAAAAAGACACGGACCATTCAGGAACTGAAGAAGGAACGGAGGAACACGCCGTCTGCCCCCAACACACGAGCAGAAAGACGATCCACTGAGAGCAAACA